CACTCCCCATACAAAAAAGTCGGTACTGTTTTTGCATTGAAATTATAAAATCTTTTATATTTTAAGACCTTCACCAAAACATTTCGGAAAAATTTAAGATTTAGTTAGTTAGCTGGACTAATACGAAAAACCTCCTTGAATTTGATGAATAAAAATTGTTTTTTAAAGTATTTTTTGAAAAAACACCTCAGATGGCAAAACAGTTTAGGCTTAAAAAAAAATATACATAAAAAATTAAAAAAAAAGAATTCAACTAGGTCCTAATAATGAGATTTTGGATGCCATTTTTGGACTTTTTTCAAAGATTGGTTTAAGAAAAAATTAAATAACTCGGTCAAAACTTCACCGATTTCGACTTGTAGGTATCATTGGAAAGGTATTTTATATATAGTTCCATAATCATAGTATCATTCCAAATTTAATTAATATTTGTTGATATTTTCAAAAATAAAAATTGGGACATGAGTTTTTTGCAAAGAAATAAAAAGGGTGAGAAAATACCTTTCCACTAATACCTTATAGGTCTAAATCGGTATAGTAAGTTTTTCTTAAACCAATCTTTGAAAAAAATTTAAAAAACCACATCAAAAATTTCATCATTCTGTTAAAATTGGTTAAAATATTTTTATGCAGATTTTGAAGATTACACTGTTCCGAGAGGACTTTTTTTCTTCAAAAATTCCTTTAAAAAACTAGTTTTATTCATAAAAAACTACATTTTTGGAGGGATTTTTAAATTTTAGTCCAGCTCACGTAAATCTTAATCAGCCTTATTATGAGTGTCTTTTTCCCTTAACCCTTTTACTTTTAGTTTCCATAGGGGTTTTTACGATCCGGTGCATACTGTCTAGTATGGTGCATAAATAGCATGATTAGCCAAGCATGTATTTATTTCAGGGACATAACAGGTATGAGTTTTATCGCAAAAACGTTGCTCCAAACAGTTATTAGATGAGAAATGTTTTTTATTTCGTCGATAAGAGTTTAACCCAACGTTTATTTTTTTACGTTGCCTGATAACTGTTATGTCGGAGAAATATTTTTTCCGTTGCCGATAAGAGTTATTTCCCAACGTTTATTTTTTACTTTATTTATTCTTCGGGCCAGTTTTCAAATTATCTTTTTATTATTTTAGCAGCTTTTCCGGCCGGTAGTTTAAAAAAGCAAAAAAAAGTTTCCTTTTTTCCTCCTACGCGTTTCGGCGTTGTTTTTCGCCTTCTTCAGGGAGTCTGTTTTTATTTATTTGGAAAAGAAACATAAAAAACACAACCATTCGGTACAATGTTACATATTGCAGTATGGAAACAATTTGTTATCATACACACATATACATCACATTTGACACAATAATTATTTTAACATATTTAACTTTGACATCACTAATAAATAACTATAAATAAAAATATCACAGCCTAATGTTGGTTATCGCTCATCTGCTCATCGAATGTGTCCAATTGCTGCCCGATATGCGCAATTTATGTTATCCACGTCTTCTTTGAAGTTCATCGCGTCCTGTATTCTTTGTTGTATTCGCAGACCTTCTAATGATAATCTTGTCCTCCCTCCTTTCTACGTCTAATATTTTGGTGTTTTCGAAGTCTGCTGCGTGTCCGCTAATTGTTAAGTGTTGGGCTAGTGCTGTTGTTGTCTTTTTGTGCTTTGCGTCAGCTTGGTGTTCGTTGATTCTAACGCCCAGTGCTCGCTTTGTCGTGCCTACGTATACTTTATTGCAGGTTTCGCCAACCTTTCCTTTGCATTTAACTTCGTAAACAACATTGTGTTGTTGTTCCTTGTTGATTTTGTCTTTTGTTTTGCTGAAAATTGTGCTAAGTGTGTAGTTTGGTTTGTGGGCAAAGGTTATATTTTCGCTTCGAATGTTTTTGTATAATGTTTTATTATCCGTTAATCCATGTATATATGTGACTCCTGCGAATTTTTTGTGTTCATGTTTATTTACAACTTCAATGCCCATGCCTGATGACTTTCGATTGGTTGTTGTTGTTGCTATAAGCTTGTTTATAATATTATTAGGGTACCCGTTTTTGTGTAATATGTTCTTTATCTTTCTGTTGTTTGCATTGCTGAACTCCTGGTCACTCAACGCGTGCATTTTTTTAAGAGATTGATAGCAGTGTTCCTCTTTTGCGTCCAGGGGTGATTCGAGTGAGTGATTCGAGATTAATAATTCTGGAGGAAGCTATATCTTTAGTATACCAGCTTGTTGACAATTTCTTGTTTATGTTGTATATTTCCATGTCTAGGAAGGCTAATTTTTGTTTATCTTCAACTTTAGTCGTGAACTGGATTTTCCTATGTTGGGCATTTAAAGTTTTAACTATTTCTTCCACGTCATTTTTATTTACAATAGCAAATATATCATCTACATAGTTATTGATGTATTTAATATATATGTCTTTGGTTTTCAATTCAGCGATGCTGTCGTCTAGTATTTTGTCCAAAACAATATCTGCTACAGTTGGTGATAGGGGGTTTCCCATTGGCATTCCATGTACCTGCNGGTTATCGCTCATCTGCTCATCGAATGTGTCCAATTGCTGCCCGATATGCGCAATTTATGTTATCCACGTCTTCTTTGAAGTTCATCGCGTCCTGTATTCTTTGCTGTATTCGCAGACCTTCTAATGTTAATCTTGTCCTCTCCCTCCTTTCTACGTCTAATATTTTGGTGTTTTCGAAGTCTGCTGCGTGTCCGCTAATTGTTAAGTGTTGGGCTAGTGCTGTTGTTGTCTTTTTGTGCTTTGCGTCAGCTTGGTGTTCGTTGATTCTAACGCCCAGTGCTCGCTTTGTCGTGCCTACGTATACTTTATTGCAGGTTTCGCCAACCTTTCCTTTGCATTTAACTTCGTAAACAACATTGTGTTGTTGTTCCTTGTTGAT